TCACTGGTCAAATGTGCACACTCCGAGCACTCCAAAAGCGTAGATATTTTTAAAAGATATTTTTTTAAAGTCAAATACTGCATTGTAGGGCTTTGTAATGGCTCAAATTAGCAAAATGTGTCATGCTCACATGCTGTTATTAGTAGGGTTAAAAAGTTAATCCCTTTTAAGAATCAATACGAGATAAAATTGTGTGGATCAGTTTTTATTTCAAGAGGTTTTAAATGCATTTCTTTTGTACTTCAGCTGTTTGCAAACTGTTGGAATGTAGCATTCTGGGTGAGATCCAATTATGTGTTAGTGGATGTCATGGGACTCCACCTTCCTCATCTCCACACTGTATACCCCTGTGGTGCCAATGTGCTTCAGATCAACATTACGATAGTGTGGGGAGGTTGTAGGGGGAAGAAAGAGAATGGGAATTGCCATTTGTTGTGAACTGAAGTCCGTTGCACAAGTGGGACACCACAAATAGAAATCTCCCTTTGTCTCTCGGTCCTCCCAACAAAAAGAGAAATATCATTAGCCCTTTTGACAAATATTATGGAATTGCAGCAAAGCCTGAATCTTGTCAAACAAACAAATAAACACAAGAAGAGCCCTGCTGGATCAGGTCCATCTAACCCAGTATCCTGTTCTCACAGTGGCCAAGTAGATGCCTATGGTAAAACACAAAGTGGGCCTTGTGAAACAGCACTCTCTCTAACTTGTGATTCCAAGCAACTGGAATTCAGAGACATAGTGCCTCCAACAGTGGAGGTAGTCCCTGATGGTTGGTTGCCATTGATAATAATAATAATAATAATAATAATAATAATAATAATATATTATTTCTACCCTGCCCATCTGGCTGGGTTTCCCCAACCACTCTGGACAGCTCCCAACAGAACATTAAAAACCACAATAAAATATCAAACATGAAAAACTTCCCTAAACAGGGCTGCCTACAGTTGTCTTCTAAAAGTCATATAGTTGTTTTTTCTTTGACATCTGATGGGAGGGTATTCCACAGGGTGGGCACTGAAAGCCCCAGAACAGAAACCTACTAGAATCTGGATGACTCTTCCAAACTTTTGAAATGGCATTTGGATTTCACCAATTGTTTTTAACTGCTAGGATTTGTGCATTGCATGCAATAGAATAGTTTTTCAGTTTTCACTGAAAACAGAATATATTTTATTCTTTTATGAAAATCTTCAGCGTTTTCAGACCCGAAACCTACCTTTGATCCAAAACACAAGGAATCTCCATCTTTCCAGCATTCCGACACAGTTTATTGGTCATCATCTAGTCCACCACTGCATCCAGACACTGATCCAGAGCTTTCACAGTCTCTCATGACTCAGATGTTATGAAGAAGTAGAGCTGTGTATCACCAGTGTACTGGTGACTCCTTGCTCCTGAACTCCATGTAAGTCATGTGAATGAATGACTGAATATGCTTGGTGACCATGATACCCCAGACAGAGATAGGAAAGGATGGTGCAGGTCAAACGAAAGAATTCCTTTACCTTCAATAGTTGTGTAGAAGGAGATATTTTTGTAGCTGCTGCCCAGAGGTCCTTCAGCAGCTAGCAAGGGAAATGGCAAAGTTCTTACTGAGTACAAGTTTTGGGAGAAGTAGCAATAATTTGCAACCATTTTTGTCCCTCTCTCACTCTTTAACACTCAGTATGCCCAGAGCCTCAAATCTTTACTCATACCAATGTGCTGACTTACATCAGTTCCTGGAAAAAAATTTCAAATGATAGAAGAGGAAACCTTTTTCTTATCAAAGTAACTAACAGTATCTTTGGCTAGGAACCTGAGCAGATGTGCATGCATATATCACCTTTCTTAATTCATTCCAGTTGCAAAGAAAACTCTGGACATTTTAGTGCAGGAATAACAGGCAACGAATATCCCATAAAGGATGAGCAGTTTAAGCACAAGAAACAAGATCACTAACTAAAATGTCTGAACTGATTCGAGTTTACAATGATATATTCACTTCCTGATAGAAGGTCTTTCTGTTGAAGTCTGCTTGGGATGGGTTCTCTCAATTTGCTTTGTTTTTTTTGCATGGAACAAACATTTCATATTATTAGAGCAATGTGTGAAGTTAAAAATGGAGACAGACAAGCCTAATTTCTTTTATGAGCCTACAATTAGGGTGCTCAGCTAATTCCCAGGAATTCATTTTTTTCCCCTGGAATGAGAAGAGTAATCTGACTACATCTTTAAAAATCTAAACAGAAGCCAGCTGTAGAGGTTTATGTGAGTGCTCACCTCTAAACCTTTCAGAAATGGTGGCATGATCAGAGATTGGGTTTCAGCATAGAAAATGTACTTGTGTCCTCAATGTGTACACCAATTTTCATCTCAGTCTACTTCAAGACAAGAATGAACCTAGCTTTGCAGTTGTTACCCAGAATGTGTCTTTACCTTTCATACCAACGTCTCAATATTTCTCCCTTCAGCTCAGAGGAAGACATGGAAGGGGAGCTGCTACTAGATTGGGAAGCCATCGTGCCCCTTCCAGGTCAGAAGATGAGGTCTTGTTGGACTCTTCATATGAAGAAGGCACTATCAGCACTGCCCCTACCATTGCTACAGCATAGGAACCAACTGTGTTGCAGATTAGCTCCATGAACCTTTAAGAGCATAGGCAGTTCCTCAGAGAGGGTGGAGCCAACCAGATCAGACCCAGGCAGTGTTCAGAAAGTCTCTGCATGTTGCTAAGAGAACAGCCCTCCTTTTGAAACTGAGAACACCTCAGCCACCTGTCATGTGGCCCATTAGAAGTGGAGGAGTTCAGGATCCAACCTTATGTTCTAGTAGAAGCTGGCTATTTCTTTAATTTACCTTGTTAAACAACATTCTTGAAAAATTTAGAGAAAAGAAAGCCATCTCAACTAATACCATAACTCTCTGCATGCTTCTGTTTTCAGAGAACCTTTTTCTCTTTGTGTGGTGCTGAAAGAACAATAATTTCCCTTATTGCCGCTCCCATCCCCCACTATCCCAATGTACGTAGTTATGGGTGGGGAAAACGCTGGCATTGCTGAAAACCTATGAGAATTTCCATTTGGCCAAGTCCCAAATTGCAATGACTCATGATCTAGTAACCAGATTTGCAAAGATCCAAGGCAAATCCTGCTGATTTATTGTGTTTTTCTCTCCCGCGAAAAACAAACAAAAATAGGAAGAGGATAAGCAACTCCAATGCAAAGTTCACATGCAGAGCATATTGATACCATTCCATGATTTCCCTGGTGGCTTTTAAGTTCACTCTGGGTGGCATGTTTTAAGTGTAGGGCAAATCCTGTGCTAGAGGTCAGGTTTTTAATTTCATATCACCGCTCAGTTTGATGCTCACTTTCCTTTACTGAATAAACTTCTGCTAACAACACTATGCTGTTCATGTAAAAAGAATAAAAAATGCATTCCTTATGGATATATAGCACTGTGCAGAATTCCTGTATAAGTGTCTCTGTAGCTTGAGGTGTTGAAAATGTGGCCCGGTTTATCAAAAACACAGCTGGCTTCCTTGGGGTTCCAGAATGCATATAACAAATAGATTTCTTTACGAACTTGTGAGAATACCCCGAGGAAAACAGCTGCGTTATTGCAAAGCCTATGAAATCTCAGGCGAGTCTGAACCATTGTAATTTTTAAATACTACTTTCAAATATATATTTTTCTTTATTTTTTAATTTTTTCCGCAGAAACATATTGCACAGGGGAAAAAATATGGTGATTACTTTAACAATGTTGGACTAAGGCTGTAACACAAACCTCACTTACCTGGGGGTAAGACCCATTGAATTAAATGGGATCTTCTTTTTCTTCTTCTTCCAAATATAATAGAAGACAAGAGTTTAGAAAAAAATAGATGAAAGAAACCGTGTCAGCTCTGACTGACGATACAAATAATTCATCAATCCTAATTTAAACATATATATTAATGTAAGACATCCATATGTCCAAATAGGTAGCCAAATGAGATCAAATATTAAAAGATACTAGCAGCCTCATTCCTGTTGTTGCTCGGGAAAATTCCAACCCAAAAAATAAGTGCAGTTTTGAAATCAGTGCAGTTTTGGAAGGTTCAGTTGGCCATCTAGTTTTAAAATGGCGTCCAGATGTATCCAAACATAGACAAAAACCTTCCCCTGGTTTTCAAGAATCAGGATGAAAAAAATGGGTTGCAATATTTTACTAAGCCTCTATTGGAAAGCCAGGTCAGCAACAGAGGGTTTCAATCTTGATCTTCCTTGACTGAATTATACCATCAAAGTATGGTATCTTTCTATTCAATATGGGTTGGATTTAGACTAAGGTCTCATACACACTTCTAGGCACAGGTCCATGCTTTCCAACTCTGTGTCCAAGGGCTTTTTAATTATTATTACAGTGGAACCTCGGTTCTTGAATGTCTCCATTGATGAACGATTTGGAACCCAAAAGCCGAAAACTCAGGAGTAATTGCTGCCGTTTTTGAGTGTGCCTCAGAAGTTGAACGGCTTCCATTACATGTTTTTCCATTTTTTCAATGGATTTTACCGCCCGCCCATCGAACCTCAGTTTTCAAATGTTTTGGAAGTCAAATGGTCTTCCGGAACAGATTATGCTCGAAAACTGAGGCTCCACTGTATTTGCCCTGGCACTTTCCCCATGAAAACCCACTCTTCGCTGCTGAATACATGGGAAACACGAGTTTCCATTTGTTCCAATTCAGGGTTAATTCAGAAAAAAAGTCAGAAATGGATTGGGAAAGCACAAACCTGTGCCTAGAAAGTGTGGGGCAAAAGGCAAGGGTGGATGAGCCCTAGGTTAGTTGATTTTAGTTCCTATTGAAATCAATAATGTCAAATTAAATCCCATTTATTTAAATCTGAACTAAGAGCAACTAACTTAGACCCCATCTTAGACTTTTAAAGCAGTATTATAGCAGTTTAAACAGTAATGGTGGCACCTCCCCAAAGAATTATGGAAAGTGTGGCTTGTTAAGGGCATTGAGAGTTGTAAGGAGACCTCTATTCCTCTCCCAGAGCTACAATTTGCAGAGTTACCTGGAGAGAGGAACTGTTGTTAAACCACTTTGTAACTGCAGCTCTGTGAGGGGAATAGAGGTCTCCTAACAAATCTCAGCACCCTTAACAAGCTACAGTTCCCAGGATTTTGGTGGGCAAGCCACCACTATTCAAAGTGGTATGATACAACTTTAAATGTATAGTGTATATGGGTCCTAAATCATTTTACTGGGGAAATGCAACTGAAATATTGTATAAATTTCTGTGCGGGATGAAGACTCCCTGCCCCTCAATTTTTCTCAGATAACTGGAATCAGAAAAAAAATGTATATAATGATCTTTCACAGATATCCTTCCTGGTTCAGATATTGCAGAGGTATTGCCTCTGCAGAAATATTGCTGTTGCTTTCTAACTAGAGGTGACATACCCTGCCCACACTTTGCAGAGATCAAAATTTTTGTCATCATGTATGAGAGACCAAGTCCTCTACAATTACAGTGACACATTGGTGGTCCCTGGACTTAGAAATTAAGCTGCTTTTACAATGCGGATTGTTGCCTTTTAATCACCCTACATTTATAATAAAAATATGTATTAAAAATAATTTGTGTATGCAGATTGAGCAAATCCTCTGGTGCTAATTATCACAAATCTAAGTTGATGACTAGTAGCCTCCCTGCTGACCTACTCAGACCTTGAGGAAAATCATTCCCTTTTTTTGCCTACTAAACCATTGAGCTATCTAGAGATTTTTATTTTATTTTAGCTTTGCTAGACCTATACAAATTTAACTGCCAGCCACTTTATAACAAGGTCCACAGAGATATATACTCAAAAGTGGTTCTGAAAACCTGGATAAGGAAAGCAAACACCTTTTATTTCAAATTATCTCACTTTATCTCTGCAAACAGTCACCAATTGGCCCAAAACTGATTTAATCTGGATGAGGTTGAGAGAGCCAAGGCATAACTTTGAAGTCCTCATAGAGTATTGGTTAAAGGTACCCTGCCTGATTTGGTACTCTGTTGTTTAGCAGCTCAGCTTTGACACCAGTTGAGATGGTTGCATCTTCATAAAGTGACTACAAATAAAACAGGCTGCCACAGTTTATTCACACAAAGCCCTGATCTATTATTAGAGTAGAGGCAGACCAAAAAGTGCCGTTGAACGCACATTTGTGAAAGTTACTTACGTGGGAAGAACATGATTCTCCATCTTTACCCTCCAACACTGATTGTTTGACAACCAGCATTTGTGACATAGAACAAACCTAAGAATTCAATTTCTCTCATGAAGTCAAAGTGCCTTGAAAGAGGGATCTGCTAGAACAGGGAAATCTCATTTCTTTGAAAAACACCCTGAAGACAAGTGAACTGGTGACTCATTCTGAATGCCAACATGGCAAATACAGTGGTACCTCGGGTTACATACGCTTCAGGTTACATACGCTTCAGGTTACAGACTCCGCAAACTCAGAAATAGTACCTCGGGTTAAGAACTTTGCTTCAGGATGAGAACAGAAATCAAGCTCCGGTGGCGCAGCGGCAGCAGGAGGCCCTATTAGCTAAAGTGGTGCTTCAGGTTAAGAACAGTTTCAGGTTAAGTACGGACTTCCAGAACGAATTAAGTACTTAACCTGAGGTACCACTGTAAGTCATTTTATCAAAGAACTGCATATATGTCTTCCTTTGAGACATGTGCTGACATGGCTATCTAGTCCCTTAAAAGACCTGTCTCAGTTGTTTACCAAACGACTTTAACTGCGCCCAAAGAAGGAAGGAAGGAAGGAAGGAAGGAAGGAAGGAAGGAAGGAAGGAAGGAAGATCGCATGGCTATGTTTGGAAGGTAAGTCTAGTTTTGGCTGAAGAAGCTGTGAAAACTCCTTGTTACATTAGCCATAAGTATAAGAAAAAGAGAAGAGAGAAGCCCAGTACAATGCACGAAGCAGCTGCACGTAACCCTCACTTTAGCATCCCATGTACCAAATGTAGTTAACCACATCATTCCCAGCCAGCATCGTAGAGTCAGGGGTGATGAGATTGTTTAGTAAAGGTAAAGGGACCTCTGAACATTAGGTCCAGTCGTGACCAACTCTGGGGTTGAGGCGCTCATCTCGCTTTATTGGCCGAGGGAGCCGGCGTACAGCTTCCAGGTCATGTGGCCAGCATGACCAAGCCGCTTCTGGCGAACCAGAGCAGCGCACGGAAACGCCATTTACCTTCCCGCAGGAATGGTACCTATGAGATTGTTTAGTACCTTGGAGCAAAAGCTTGAAAGAGGCTGCCATAGCAAGAAATCACTTATTACGAATCAACTATAGTATGGAGGATATTGGGTGGAAGAAGCCTGTCTTCTATACCAATTTCAATTACTATGGTCTCATTTACATTCAGTCATCCACTGAACAAGTACAGATTATGTGGACCCATGTCTCTTGAGTCAGTGTATCTTGGATGAGTTTCAAGCGATGGTAGAACCCTTTGTAGTAAAGGCTTTTCCCCATGCTGTTTCTGGCAGGCACCAAAGCAAAAGTGTCCGAAAGCTCATGTGATCCTGCTGTCATCAGGCATTCTGGGCTCATTTTTTCCATCTGAAAGTCAGACAGCTCTAGAATTGGAAGCGTCACCTTTGATCTGCCCCCTTCCTGAGTTGCACGGCCGCGTCTTGACTAGAGACAGATCTCAGGGCCCAGCTATTTCATGCAAAACACTGTAGCTAATTTAATTTCTAGAAATAATAATATGCTCTTTTATTGCACCCTCTTACTGGTATATCAAATTCTTTACCAATATTAATCCCACAGCAACTCCAGCAGATATTACAGTGGGAAGAAATATTCTCCCCCCCCCAAAAAAAAAGTTAATAGAACTGAAAAGTTAAGTAAGTTAGTTGGAGTCACCGATAGCTCGCCTAAATCTCTTTAACAACAACCAACAACAAAGGACAAATATAACCTACCTATATTTACAGATATTGCTGGAAACAGGATCAGCCAGTTCAGGGATTTTGCTATTGCAAAAAGGTGTTGGGGGACCTATTACTTGTCCTGTTGTTTTGACAATCTACGAAGTGCTTTGGCTCCGTTCAGACATGCTTCCAGGTGAAACAGCCAGGAATGAGCCTCAGGCTTACATACTTCCTGCTCCGCTCTTGTCTGGCAGTTCCCTCCCTCCCTTCATGGCTTGCAGCAAACCATTCCTACCACATATGAACCAGCACACTGTGTTTTGCCCTTGCCATTTGAGCTAGCTTGCAAACTAGAATTTTGCAAACTAATTTGGGATTATTTTCTAATCATGGTTCATCTACAAGCTTAGAAATGGAATAGTTTAAGCAGGCACCTTAAACAAGCACCAAGTGCAGTATGTCTTGGCACAGCACATGAATAACATTGCAATCCTACGCACACTGACCTAGGAGTAAGTTGCATTGAATGCAGTAGGTTTTACTTCCTAATGAACATGCACAAGATTGTGCTGTAAACTGCCATCTTTTCTCCCACAGGCACGGGGATGACCACAGACTTTCGAATGGAACTGGACAAATGCCTGGGGAATAAATCTATCATCAGCTGGTAGTCATGATGGCTAGGTGAGACTGCTAGTTTTAGAGGAAGTACACTGCTGAATTCTTGTTTGTTTGGAGCAGTAACTGGAAATAAATATTGCTTTTGCATTTCCCAGGGGCATCTGGCTGGTTGCAGTGGGAAACATGATGAATTAGAATGTAGTCCCAACATAGACACTGGGGGCGGGGGGAGGTCTCTCTGGCTCAGCCTGCTGTTTCACATACTACAGAGATTATATATTATATCTCTTATAGCTTATTCATGTCTTGGTAATGGACTGGATGAGAGCCAACAAACTGAAGATCAGTCCAGATAAGACTGAGACACTGTAAGTAGGTGGTTCGCTAGACTGCTGGAATGGTAGGTTGCCTGCTTCTGATGGGGTTTACTCCCTCTGAAGGAGAGGTATGTAGCTTGGGGGTGCTCCTGGATCCATTGCTGTTGCTTGAGCCTCCAGTGTTCTCAGTGGCACAGAGCCAGCTTTGGCTGGAGACCCAGCTGTGCCCTTATCTGGAAAAAGATAGCCTAACTTCTGTTGTCTATGCCCTGGTGACCTCTAGGTTAGATTGTTGTAATGCTTTACACATGGGGCTGCCTCTGAAGAGGGTACAGAAACTTCAGCTCTAATGCCTCTAGGGCCACCTCTCCCCATATGAACTGACCTGTAATCATCATCTGAGACCCTTATTTGTATGCCCCTTCCATGAGAGGCCCAGAGCTTGGCCACACAAGAATGGGCCTTTTCCATGGTGGCTCTCCATTTGTGGAATGCTCTCCTAAGGGAAGCTCACCTGCTGCCTTCATTACATATCTTTAGGTGCCAGGAGACAATTTTCTTCTGTAACCAGGCCTTTCACCAATTAAACAATCTATGGCCTTTTAAACTGTGTGGGTGGGAGGGTTATTGCTTTTGTTTGCTATTATGTTATCTATTTGTGTGTTTCCATATTGTAAACTGCCCTGTGATTTTCACATGAAGGGCAGTCTATACATTTAAGAAGTAAATAAATTAAATAAAAATAGTGTATCTCTAACTAAAAAGCAGAAGGAGGAATTGAGCTTTCAGCAATGCACAATAGTTGGAAGGACACTCAAATCTACCAGTTTTGTCTCTATTTCCATTTGTCATATGTTGGTGGTTTAAATTATCCTTGGCCTGGTTAAGGCAGGACAATCTTTATAACGTTTTATTTATTGTAACATCTACCTTCTGCCCTTCCTCCCATTTGGATTTCTACCTGCCACATTCTCCCCAGTTGAGAACTCTTTTAGTTTCCAAGTCATCTATAAATTGTCTAAGTAAATATATTTGTAGTTTTGATCTTGAGACTCAATATTAAAGCAAATGAGCTATAAAATATTTCCGCAACATTCAAAGAAATCCAAAACTTTTTGTAAAAAAATAAATATTCTTAAGCTTTGTCAAATCCTGCACCCACCATTACTATATTTTAAAGGTAAGAATGTTAGAAAATGATGTGAATAAGGAATAATGAATAAAAATCATGCTGATTGTTATTATTTCTGATGTCAATAAATTAACATT